ACAGAGACAAGGATTTCACAAATGCAGGGGGCAAAGTGACGATGCCTGGACTGCCGTAGCGGAAGCCAAATGGAGGCCAATTACGGAATCTGTACCAACAAGATTTGTGTTAACGGATAAACACATTACAGCAGTCAGTCAAACATCTGAACCAGAAAATGACCGGCACAGTCTGCTGATGGCTGAAGACACAAAATCTCAATCTATCTCGTTGACAGGACACTCATAAGGACATCGGAAGAACACAAGAGTTGCCTGGTACATCCCAAGCTGATGTTTAGAGATATACATACTGTACACATACAAATGCATTTTATAAAGACTCCTGCAAGTCGAGCAAGCATGACAGAAGGAAGAGAGGAAGGAAAATAAATAGCTATCCTTCTGAAAAAGCTGCATCATAAGGCACTTGAATAAAGAGGTGTCGTAAAACAAAGACAAAGGGAATAATCAACGAAGGGCGAAGTTGGAGGGAGGGTATGTATGTGTTTGCAGATGACGTCGGCCTCTTGAGGGAAGAGGTCATAAAAATACAAGTCAAAGTAGCATTAGGGTCTACAAGTATATTGCTTTGTGCCATAAAGTCATCATTACGTACAGGAAAGGGGGGAATTGATTGGAGGGTGATGTAACAGCAAATATCTCGTTTATGGCGGCGAGAATTATATTACAAAGCAAGAGATACTCCAAGTTTCTCAAGAAAAAAAATGATTTTATTTCATGTGAGAGTGAAGGGAAATATCTGACAATCAAACTGATTTTTTCATTTTATAATCTGTAAGAATGTTGTAGTAAAATCGGAGAAAACGGCTCAGGCCTCTCAGTATACAACAACATACAACCGGAAGGTTTTTGTTTTTATTATTACTGTTATTTTCTTTGTAGCTGCAGTTGTTTCGACTGTGAGAGTGTGAGAACAAAATCCAGAGGGAAATATTTAGAACTAGATGAGATAATGAAACAAGAGAATAGAGAAAACTGTGTAATGAGAAGCCGCATAATATTTATTCTCACCATACGTTACTGGGCTGAACAAATCAAGGCTAAGATGGGCGGAGTATGTAGCATGTGTGGGGAAGATGAGAAGTGCATATACATTTTTCGAGCCCGAACCTGAAGTGAAGAACACACATGGAAGACTAAAGTGCAAATAACAATATGGGGAACCGCAAAGTAACAATGTGTAAGCACATGAACTGGATTTATATGAATGAGATTCTTACGGCATTGGCTATGAAGATTACTGTCTATCATGTGACGTCGTATAGTCTGGTAGATGTTTTCCAACGTGTCTAAAGAACTCGCTGTCTCCATTTTCAAGATTAGAGCTAACTGTCTACCAGACCAGACGACTAATCTTCAAGACAGAATCCATTGCGGACTATTCTGAACAATGTGATGAAGCTCAGAATTCCAGGGATTTTTGACTCTGTCCACCGTCCTGTACTCTCGAAACTATAAAACACGACGTTTCAGAAATTGAATCTGTTTCCATCCTAGGCTGAGGAGGGAAGACACCTACTCTGTCGGGTCCCTTAGAAAGAATTAAGCTCATCTGAGTCATCGAAACAAAGTACAGTACTTACTAAGCAGGTACTTTATTCTACATAAAACTTTCGCTGCTTGGGGTGACTGTCTACCCGGTATCCATGCAGTCAGTTCGACAGATCAGGGCACTTCTAGACAAGTTCACACTCGAAATGTGATTTCCTTGAGCCCATTATTCTCTTTGTCGTACAGGTAGATAATCCATCGGGTACTAGACAAGCAATTCTCTGCCTTACATGGAACCTGAATGTTCATCGTGTTCACAAGGACACGCCACTGGACCACACCTAGCTGAGTTCAGTCCATATCACAACCAAATTCTTCAAGATATGTTTCAATGCATTATTTTCCATCTATGCCTAAATCTCACAAGTGGTTTTTCTTCAGAGTTTTCCTAATCACATTCTCTTACACGTGCAACATGTCCAACCCATCTCATCCAATATTACTGGCAGACATACCTAATCTTATTATGTGTTCTGCTTAGTGCGAAGTACATTTCCCTGACAGAGACAGAACGAAAATTGCCGGATCATAAACCCAAAGAGAAGGTACACAACAGGCACAGTTTTAAGTTTCAGTAGCGCCAGTTATTTGTATAATGAAGGGTTAGAGCGCGCCAGCTTCTCACTCCCTTGTCTTTGAGGTTACATTCTCCATTTTGTTACGCTAAGAGAGCCACTCTGCCTGTGGTTCTGTATGGGTGTGAAACTTGGTCTCGGATATTAAGGAACATAGACCGAGGGTGTTTGAGAACAGGGTGTTGAGAAGAATGTTTGGACCGAAGAGAGATGAAGTGACAGGAGGTTGGAGAAAAACGCATAATGAGGAGCTTCGTAACTTGTATTCTTCTCCAAGTATAATTAGAATGATGAAGTCAAGGAGGATGAAGTGGGCAGTGGGCAGGGCATGTAGCACGAATGGGGGAGAAAATGAATGCATATAGGATATTGGTGGGAAGCCAGAAGGAGAAAGACCACTGAGAAGACCAAGGCGTAGGTGGGTGGACCATATTAAAACGGATCTTAGAGAGATAAGATACGATGAGATGGCATAGATTGGTTGATCTGGCTGAGGATAGGGACCAGTGGAGGGCTCTTGTGAACACGGTGATGAACTTTCGGGTTCCATAAAATGCTGATAAGTTCTTGAGTAGCTGCAGAACTGGCGGCTCCTCAAGAAGGGCTCAGCTCCATGAGTAAGTAAGTAAGAGAGCCACTCGGGTAAGTATGACTTTTAGGGTGCCAAGTCAAGTTAAGAAAAACGAGTTCCGCCAACCAGTTACCCAACTATTTGAGCGGAACGCTTCTGAAACATGACGAAGTGTAATTATTTGCTACCTTTATGAGGAAACTAGATTGTGTATTACATAAATTCCTTAAACACAACTTGAAGAACATGTTTGGAGGTTGCAATGCAACGTAAGAAGAGAAGATGTTTTTAAAGTGACAGTCGAGATTAAGAGTTCACATGCATTTAGCAGTATAACCATAATCGGCTTAGGGCAGTAAATCTTGACACGACAAAAACTCATCGAGATATTCCCACATCGCAACATATAAAAGGTAGTCCCTACACTTTGACTTCTTCTGACGGAAAGAACAGTCATACCGATTACCGTTATTGTCTTGTAGATAAACAAGGCATTCTCGAATATGAGATGGTAGCTGTGGCAGTCGTCCCTATATGGAAGAGGTAAGGGAAACCCATAGTAAGTAAAAGAATAAAGCAAAAATTGATACTGAAAAGATTTAATCTCAAAAAGCGAAATGGTGTTAAGTTCAACACTTTAAGTAACAATTAAGAAGAAACAGAAACCCAAGATTAACGGCCGTGTGGATTCGTTGCGCTGACCACGCGACAGCCTCTATCCGCAATAGTTGACACTAACTTTGCCGACAAGCGGCGGTCGCTCGGTCGGTATAGTTCGCTTGCGGACTGAAGGCCACGGAGTTCTTTTTTTATTTTAAAAACAAAATGAATGAAATAAAAGAAATAATAATAAAAATACCAGATACCTTTACCCAGCAACATAACCGAAACTTAAGAAGGGATACCAACCTAGAGCTAACTTAGTGAAAGATGGGAAAGGTCATGTACTTACAAATTTGCAGAATGTTTTGAATCTGTGTAGTAAGTACTTCTCTCTGCTGTTAAGTAGCTGCTGGGCGTAATGATGTTAAGCAGACTGAACTACGTGCAAGTTAACCTAGTACTAGAGGGGCAAACTCTTCTATTGAAAAGTTTAAAAAATATGGATCTCCAGATTAATCCAATAATTACAGAAGTGATGCAAGGTAAAGGTAAAACACTACGTTCTGAGATTCATACATGTACGTGTTTCGAATGCGCAACAATTGTCGCAGAAATGGAAGGTATATTAGTACCGTAAACATTTATAAACAGAACAACATTACAGAGTGTATTAATTATAGAGAAATTCCACTGCATTCAACTCTATAAATAATGACAAATTTCTCCCTTTCCCAAGAGATCAGAGGCTGGAGGTAGTAACGTAATGTAATGTAACGTAACATAACTTTATCCCTGGTTTTAATGAATGAAGCCCAACGACATGAAGACGTATGAGGGGAATCGAGGTATAGCTTCACTATTCTTAACCTTAGCACTAGGTCGAAGTGAGTGCTCATATCCACGCCATAGACGCTTCACCCCCGAGGAAACACCTCCCTATACCCATTGTTTAGAAAGCTGGCTGGGCCCCAGAGTCGGTGTGGACATTACCTACCTACCTACCTACCACTCGGCGCTACAGCCATGGGTGAGCCTTGGCCTCCTCTACAACCAGCCTCCACTGCTCTCTATTCCTCATCTTCTCTATCCAGCCTTTCTCCTTCATCTTCTTCAGGTCGTTCTCAACATCGTCGAGCCATCTCATCCTGGATCATCTTCTTCTGGAATACAGCCTTCCTTTTAATAGCGTATCATTTACTGGGCTACTTCTTGCATCTCTCCGGGTTGTAACATTGTGCTTACATTCCAAGTTGCCATCACAATACCACTGTTCCTTTTCCTTTGAGTCTGGACATTATATAGAAGAAAAATCTATTGCCCCTGCCGGAAATCGAACCCCCAATCCTCGGTCGTCCAGTCCGAAGTCTAGTCGCTATACCGATGAAGTATTCTTCTTGTCTTATGCGCTTTCCTCTTTCTTATCCCTCTCCTAGATCTTCCTAGACTTTCTTCATATATTCATTGTCTTGTTTCTTCTTCACATTCTTCCTCACTTTTCCTCCTAGTCCTCTTGTTTCTGTTTTTTTGTCTTTTTATTCTTCCGTTTTCATACATGTACAATAATTGTTAAGCGTTCAAGAGTCTGTGGGGAGCCCGTTCACTCCACGCATGCGCAATCCTGAGACTCAGGTTCCCCTGTTGGCAGCCTAACTTTTGCATAATCTGCTCCAGCCAATCGTTGCTTTCTCTACCAACAGGTTACGCTGCATGACCCACGTCTGCAAGATCCTGCGAGTCGTCTGCGCGACCTAGCGACGCCATGCAGAACTATCACGCCTCATACCCTTCTGCACGAAGGAACGTTCGGAAGGGTTTATAGGGGCGAATACGCGGATGAAGACACGGGAACCCATACAGACGTGCTCATCAAAACGGTGTCCGGTGAGCGACACAGTTCTCATAAAATAAATCCGTGAGCTGGCCCTCTTTTCTGTGTGCGTGTGTCTCAAGGGCGCCGACGCCACACTCTGTTTATAATCGCACTTGTTTAACTATAGCAATTCGACATAAAAACGCAGCCCATACTATCCACACTTCCTATCAGGCCCGAGGTACAATCTCGAATTTCACTCAAATAATTTAAATGCTGCCGCTGGAAACACTTATCTTATGTTAAATGAATTCGCCTTGATGCATATATAACAAAACGAAGTTTAAAATTTTCAGCAAGATGGAGCAGCGTCTCATTGCAGCAACAGGGCTCTATGCACGCAATGAGAAGATTTTGGGCGTCAGATGGAGGCCAGACTGGAACGGTTGCCCTCCTTGAACACTAAGTCTTGGGGGGAGAGCACACCAAGGAAACTGGCAACTGCAACGCAACCGCAATTTACGAGCATTGTTATCAGCCTGAGTTGAACACATGTTAATGGATCGAGCAGCGTAAATTGAGGAAATGATAATGCAGTTTCCTCAATTTGCGCTGTTCCATTCAGTAGCATTTGTTCAACTCAGGATGATGATAAATCTCGGAAATTGCGGTTGCGTTGCAGTTGCCAGTTTCCTTGATGCGCTCTCCCACTTACACACCTCTACTTCTTCTTGTGGTGATACTTCAAAAGGACTGCCTCCGTGGTCTAGTAGTCAGAGATCCTGGCTACAGATCCGTAAGCTAACTACTTCTATTTGGCGTAAGGAAAAATTGCCTGATCAGTGGAAGGAATCTATCATTGTACCAGTTCACAAGAAGGGTGATAAAAATGACTGTAGTAATTATCATGGGATATCATTGCTATCAACTTCATACAGAATTTTTATCCAATATTCTTCTCTCAAGGTTAAGTTCATACATAGATGAAATTATTGGGGATCATCAGTGTGGGATCAGATCTTTTGTACTCGTCAGATACTAGAGAAAAAAATGGGACTACAGTGAGACAGTACTTCAGCTATTCATAAACTTCAAGAAAGCCTATGATTCAGATGTACAATATTCTGATAGAGTTTGGGATACCCATGAAACTAGTTACGCTGATTAAAATGTGTTTAAACGAAACTTATAGTAAAGTGAGTATAGGTAAACATTTGTCTGATACATTTCCTATCCAGAATGGTCCAAAACAAGGAGATGCTTTATTTGCACTCCTTTTCAGCTCTGCTTTAGAATATGCCATTAGGAAGGTCCAGGAAAACCAGGTAGGACTGAAATTAAACGGGACACATCAACTGTTATCGGTATATGCCGATGATGTGAATCTACTGGGTGATAATATAGATACCATAAAGAAAAACACAATAACTTTAACTGACGCAAATAAGGAGGTTGGTCTAAAAGTAAACTCAGAGAAAACTAAGTATATGTTGCTGTCTCGTCAACAAAATGCAGGGTAAAATCATGACATAACGATAAAAAACAGATACTTTGAAAATGTGACAGTTCAGATATTTGGGAACGACGATAACAAATCAAAACCTGATTCATAAGGAAATTATGAGGAGATTGCACTCGGGTAATGCTTGCTACCATTCAGTCCAGAATCTTTTGTCTTCTCGTCTGAAGTACAAAAACATAAAAATTAGAATATAAAAAACTATAATTTTGTCTGTGGTTCTGTATGGGTGTGAAACTTGGTCTCTGACATTAAGGGAGGAACATAGACTGAGGATATTTGAGAACAGGTGTTGAGGAGAATATTTGGACCGAAGAGTGATGAAGTGGCAGGAGGTTGGGGAAAACTGCATAATGAGGAGCTTCATAACTTGTACTCGTCTCCAAGTGTAATTAGAATGGTCAAGTCAAGGACGATGAGGTGGGCAGGGCATGTAGCACGAATGGGGGATACGAGGAATGCATATAGGATATTGGTGGGAAAGCCAGAAGGGAAGAGACCACTGGGAAGACCAAGGCGTAGGTGGGGGGACATTATTAAAATGGATCTTAGAGAGATAGGATGGGATGGGATGGGATGGCATGGATTGGATTGATCTGGCTCAGGATAGGGACCGGTGGAGGGCTCTTGTGAACACTGTAATCAACCTTCGGGTTCCATAAAATGCTAGGAAATTCTTGAGTAGCTGCAGATTTGGCTTCTCCTCAACGACTCAGCTCCATAAGCAAGTAAGTCCCTTGGCACAGAGAATGTTGGAATTAGGCCAATCCTTCTCAACTTATCACACCTGGCTACAGACTGTACCACTCATTACCTAGGGGCAAGGGTATGTGTGCTTGGTCAAATTATTCTTCCCTCTTTGCCACGGATTTCATTCATATGATTTCAATGCAATACAATTCATAGAAAGATTTAACAGACCAAAGAACCAGCTAATAAACATTTNAAAAACCAGGACGATGGATAAAGTCCAAAATCCCAACATATCAGTGTGTTATACACCATCGTCAGAATCCTATAGTAACTATTTCAAGAATTAATTACGGCAGTGGCATGGAAATAAAATATTGGGTATAAAAGTGGTTATTCTGAAAAATGCAAAAACAATATAGGGAAAATATGAAAGTTATACAAATATAACTCTAAAACTCTCAATTAAAAAGCAGGAATATCATCTGACTGAACTTTCTGTATCGAGGCATAACAATTTAATACAGCAAAACCTTATTATGACGTTTGAGTTACATTCAAAACTTTAATAGATTATATCTATAAACCAGAACAGATATTTATACTATTCTTCATAGTAACCGCCATGAGAACCTCAAATCTTACTTTCAAAAGCTAGCAAGATTAATGCTAAAGTAATCTTATAACTTCAAAACTCACCAGCAAAACTGAACGTGAAACTGGGGTTCTTCAGAGCCATCACGTGCCGACGAAATCACAACACAAATCTGAATAATATCTCACTGCTATTACCACACTTTATAAATCACTGTGATATATTCTTCAACTCAAAATTTAATGTGGCGGCACATAATTTGAGAAACACTATATTGCAAATATATACACTGCTATCAGCCGACACTAACCTCCGTTATCCGTGTTACAGACCAAGCTTCGAAGCTACAGGTGTCACTGATGTTGGCAGAGGGTACCATGCTCCATGGACTCTTGCACAAGAACGTTCTGCCTGTTCTCGCTGCCGGTCTTGACAACTTGAAGCAACCACTTCTCGTATATCCATACTCAAACAAGGGAAACCTGAAAAGGTAAGGCCAGGATAGGATTCATACGTTCACTCAAAATGTTCGTTTCCTTTCTTCTTTCCCATGCCGGTTGGCAATATAAATACGTACGCTTATTCAATTAAAAATCAGATTAACCTGGAAATGTCTGCTTCGTCGGAGTAGAAATTTCAAAACGAGGTCTTTGTTATTTCAATATTGTTATGACTTCAATAGTCGTAACATTCATTTGTTGCAGATATAAATCTGTTGTTTCAGAAGTAATATGAGAGACAACATGCTACATAAGTGCGTTCCACCTCCGAAATCATTTAAACGCATTTCAATTAAATCTAATACTGGGTTTCTACACTAAAATACCTACTTACCTACCGCTCGGTGCTAAAGCCCTGAGTGACCCTTGCCCTCCTCTATAACCAACCAGTTTCCACTCCTCTCTATTCCTCATCTTCTCTTTCCATCCTTTCACCTTAATTTTCTTCAGGTCGTTATCAACATTGTTTAGCCAACTTATCCTGGTGTCTTCTTTTTCTTCTTTTTAAAAAATAGCCTTCCTTTTAACATTCTCTTTGGCACTGCATTATCTTCCATTCTTTCGGCGTGTCCCAACCATCTTATTCTTTGTGATTTGATAAATATTACTATATTTTCTCCTTTCAGTAGTGTGTTTATCTCTTCATTGTGTCTTATCCTCCATATACGTGTATTATATTCCATCACTGGTCCTTATATTTTACGTATTATATTTCTCTCGAAACATTAAAATATGCACCGCGTATTAAATTTTGGTTTTTATCATATAAATATAACACCTTTACATGAAATTCCATTGTTTTTCTCAAAATGGCTTATCTTAAAAAACAGTCCTCGTTAAGATGGACATGATCATTACTAAATATGGATTTTAAGATGATGTGGAAAGGCGCGGGCATAGCATAATTTAAGGTACTATACCATAATTTACCTATAAGGACTGAGGAAAGCCACAACAAAAACTCAGTCGGTATAATCATCCTCCGAGCCGTCATTCGAACTCCGTGTCTCGCGAACATAAAGCAGAGATGCTACTTAATTGTAACGTTCGATTTTTTATTGGGATATCTGGTAACTACTTTAATTACTTATTTACTTTTTCCATCTTAGGGTGAAAGATATTCTGCTAAGAATTCTGGAGCTTATGGGTTCAAATCTCGATTAGGAAAGCAACTACCTTTAGATTTAACCAGGTTTTCCATACAAAGTCTAGGTTAGTACTTCAAAATAGGCCAAAAATAATTCATTTCATACCCTTTCAATTCATTAGTCACAAATCATCGTACCATTCAATGTTACCTAATCTGGCAGTTCAAATATTGACTTGAAGTAAACCAGTAGTCAGTCAATAAAAAAGATTATGGGTCGTCTAGGAAATCATACATTCTATATTTAAACTACTTATTTTACGCTAAAGCAGTATCTAGTTATTACATGTTTCAAAATTAAACGACAAAAGTGAGTAAGCATGCACTATTTTATAATTCCATATTAAAGTCAGGAGTTTATTCTACATGTACAAGATATAAGCCCGCGTTCTTGAATTAAGTAAACTTTCCGCTTTCCGCCGTCCAAGCATCCGGAGTTATCATAGAACCGCAAAACATTTCAAATACACTGATTAACTAACTCCAAGGAGCTGAGCCCTTCTTGAGAAACCGCCAGTTGCGTAGATACCCAAGAATTTCCCGACATTACATGGAACCCGAAGGTTCATTACTGTGTTCACAAGAGCCCTCCAGCGGTACCTATCCTGAACCAGATCAATGCAGTCCACATCACTCAATCCTATCTCTCTAAGATCAGGCCGCGCCAAAGCTCAAGCGGTTAGTCGCTGGCTTCCCACCGCGGCGGCCCTGGTTCGATCCAGGATCTGGTCAAGTGGGATTTGTGGTGGACAAAGTGGCGCTGGGGCAGGTTTTCTCCGAGTACTTTGGTTTCCCCTGCTAATCCTCATTCCACCGAATTCTCCATCATCATAATCACCCGGGACAGGCTACAATAGGCCAATCAGTGGCCGCCGTACCGAATGGACTCAGTTGGACTCCACCCCCAACTAAGCGAATCTCTCTAAGATCCATATTATCCTCCCACCTATGTCCAAAGGTTCGGCCACAGAGCGCTACGTACGCTATGTTCGCTATACGAACAGAAAAATATCTCCCTTTATTGCCAATGTGACTGGCCACACAGAATTTCGTAGGCTACGTACGCTATGTTCCCTATGTTACCTGGGTCGCAGAGTGTACACAGAGTACGTAGCGTACGTAGCGAACATAGCGTAGCGCTCTGTGTGGCCGAACCTTAAGTCTTCTTGTAGTCTCTTTCCTTCCGGCTTTCTCACGAAAATCCTATACACATTCCTCTTTCCCCCATGACCTGCCCATCTCACCCTCCCTGACTTCATCATTCTAATTATACTTGGGGAAGAGTTCAAGTTATGAAGTTCCAATTCAAGGAAAACTTCCTATTATTTTAAAGTTACTTCAGAAACAAAGTATCGATGCATACATGAGTACCCTTCACTGTCACCCCTGCTCGCAAGGTCCCTTTACAGCAGATGCTAGCTAACTTTGTGGCCACCTTTCGGTACAACCGAAATCTTTCAGTCATAAATCCACTATGTCACGTAAGAAGAAGATGAAGCAGGAACTAAAGGCAGAACACGTTGTTTTGACTAATACAGCAGTGTTTACCATGCAGCAGGCAGATTAATATAACAGACACAACCCAATTCTCTATTCATGCCGGTTAACCAGGAATCTATTTCAGATAAGACAAGCCGGTAAATCTAACGTAGGTCGCACACCGGGATGCGTCAAAACATGTAAAAGTGAAGACACGATGTCTGTGACATGGCGCAAAGAAAGGAACACAGTTGAAACTAATGAGATTATAAAAACCACCGCACAGCAGTCTGAGTCATGATGGTGACGTCAGCTTCGTTGAAATGAATGAGATTATGAAAACCGCCGTATACCGGTCGGAATCGTAATGCTAACGTCAGCTTCATGCTGACGAATCACGAATGAAACAAGACTGCGTCTTTTGTCTCATGTCTTGATGCTTGTCTAGACGCAGTTGGTGTGCGGCCGCCCTAAAGCATACATAAATTACGCAACGGGCTGATAAATGTGTACTTTTCGTAACCTTCTTTTATTGCTAGTGGGGTGGGACTAAGCCCCTTGCACTGCGGCCACTTCTGGCCTATTGTACCAGCCCCAGATGATATGTGAGGGTGATTGTGGAGCGATTGGTGGAATGAAAATTGGCAGGGAAAACCGAAGTACTCGCAGAAAACCTACCCCAGCGCCACTTTGTCCACCACAAATCCCACTTGACCAGACCCGGGATCGAACCCGGGCCCCCGCGGTGGGAAGCCAGCTTGAGCTATGGCGCTGCCCATGCATAACCTAACTGCCGTCGTCGTGTGGAAGAGAGACAGGAACACGATACTGACGTAAGATGCAAGTGTATATGACTGGACAGGTTAGCTACAGAGCTAACGCGCCTGAACTGTATTCTGGTGGGCACTACTTCTATTCTCGGCTGGTACACGAAGTACTCCCGAGGGATTTCAGTGCTGCCACACGGATTTAATGCGCCACGAATGCTTCCATCTAAGTCTTCATTATTCTGCTACCTCATTCTAAACCTCCTACCCTCTAGTGTCGATATGGTGTGGCAAGACATCACATCAACGAACCACGACATGGATGCATATATTGAAGCTTGCTGAATTTGTGATAATGAGATATATATATGTCCACACTCTGTCTGAAATATTTCCGACGGTACGACGCACGGCATGCGTTTGAGGCACCATGCTACAAGCCGGAAGGTCGTTGGTTCGATTCCCGAGGAGGTCATTGGATGTTTTCATTTGACATAATCCTTCCAACGCACTATGGCCCTGGGGTTGACTCAGCCTATAACAGAAATGAGTACTAGGAATCTTCCTGGGGTGTAAACGGCGGTCGGAGTGTCCTTACTCACAACCTCACCAACATGTGTGCCGTCTATTATCTAGAAAATATGGGAACCTCGAAGTCTCGCAACCATACGGGCCTCCACGGCCTGCTACAGGGATAGATTTACCTTTCTTTACGTTTTACGTTTTTTGCGTCATACATTGAGGATCCGACCTTAACCAAAGAAAATCCCGTGTGTTCAATGATAACTCCTGTATGGGAATTTCAGTTCCCGCTGTATGTTGGCAACAGAATCCAGTAAATTTGTAATTACGACGTAATTGCACTATGTCGCACTATCTGATGATGACAAAATTTCAAATATGTTTTAAACTGAAAGTAATACAAGGATTATTGTAACCAGCATTTTTACATATGAATTGTGAAACTTGTATATATTCTTACATACAGTGACACTGTTTCAGGTTCCTACACAACTGTCACCAGAGGGGGGAGGAGCAATATACTCTACTCACTCAAGACATCGTGGACATGGCGATACAAGTGGTTCTAGCCATGCTGTTTCTTCACAGTCAGAGGATTTGTCACAAAGACTTGGCCACGCGTAACTGCGTGTAAGTTTTGGTGCATCAGACAAGTATACCAAACTATTGCCAACTGTTAATATATAACTCGAGACAATTTACTTTATATTCAATTTTTACACTCATAATCTTTTTCTTGTCTACTCACCAAAATACAAGAGTTAACATTTAATGTAAGAACTGCGATAAATCATTTGAAAATTTTACAAATTTCTTGCACCTGGGAATGATAATAAAAAGTGAAAATAATAGTCAGGAATAAATTATGCAGACATAAAGAAAATGAAAAAAAAATGTACGTAACCATAAATTTCGGGATATATTTGTCCCTGGCGTGTCATTAAACCCTAAAGACAGTTAGGCGTATTTTAAGTATGCAAACACAGATCCTTGTTTCTGTCAAAATTTACTTATTAAATAAATGTATCGTTCCTGTGTGTGTAGCTTCATTTTGAGGCTTTTAAGCAAATACAGGGCTGTTTTAAGGTTCAGCTAATATTTAAAAGACGTCTCCAGGGAAATTAAATTCTACGAACGGACAAAACCCCTGATTTTTACACTTCGAGGCGTCAATGTGAGGTGTGTCTTGTCTCATATTTCCCTTTTTAATATATTCGCAACGACAAGGTACAAAAACACCTGTTATCTTCTGTATATTTGTCTGTTTGTCCGTCTATCTACTGGAACGTAAAAACTCGAGAACTGCTGAAATTTATTTCATTATATTAGATATTTGGAAGTTTTACAGAAACTTATGCTTTGTTTTAATAATTGTAACAGACACTACAGAAATGCCTGCATGCGTTTCTGGGAGCATTTTAGCTGAATTTTGCAATTTTTTTCGGAGCACAAAACGTTTCCAACAGACGTTGTACAGACATCTGGAATACACATTTTACGTTCAATACATTTTTTCTATGAAGCTCGTAGCTTTCGAGATAATTAATCGAAAGGAAGCGAAAGCGACAGCATTGTTATGCTAAGTACAAGTACTTAAGTACTTAATCTGGATTGTCCGAAAAATGGAGAGGGAAGTAGCTCGGATAATTAAAAACAACAGATAATAAGAAAATTGAAATTATCCACTAACCCTCAAAATCACATGTTCTTGCTACTAGTCACTAAATACTGAGAAAAATGTCGTTCAGATAGGAGAAGGGAACTTCTGTTCAGTGGCAGGACACCAGCTCGAAAGAAAAAGATACAAAAATAGGAGGTTGAAACAATGTGAAATGATGTACAGACAGCTGTGGATCACTGTAAATCATAATTCAGACACATGTAATGGACAATACTCAATCACCACGGAAGCCATAATCAATAACTAAGGAGTTCCAAACTTCCCGCGGTTCCTAACTGGTTTTAGGTTGAGAGCTTCTGGGTTATGACACCGTGTAGTTTCGTACATAGTTACCAACCTTCCGGAGGTACTTGATGCCCCCTATCTTCTATCTTCTATCTTCTATCTTCTATAGTCTCTTTCTCTTCGTCCATTTCCATGTTATTTTCCTTTATATTTCTTTCTTTCATTGCTATCTTCTTTCACCATTCTACTGTTGTACCTTTTTTTTATATACTTTCCTTGAGTCCTCTTTCCTACGGGTTGGACAAAGAGGGGATCGGATTTCAAGTCGAAGTGGGGCAAGAATTTTCATTTCTCCATGTCGTACAGACTGAAACTGGGGCCCACCCAACCTCCTATCCAATGAGTACCGGGGAATCTTACCCCGGGGCAAGAAAACTCTGTTCTATACATCTACTCTCCCATATGTCTTCATGGCGTAGTGCTTAATTAGTTAAGCACAGGGACAACTTTACCTTTTTTATTTTGTTTCCTAGTCTATAAATATATATAACGGATTTTATTTCTATGCGTATTAAATTAATAAACTCAAAAGGAATCTTTGAGATGGACTTCAGCCTCATGTGTTAGCTTCATATTCTTCCTGCATTAATGGTTAATATTCTTATAAAGTTCATCCCTCACGATAAATGTTCTCTGATGTTATTTGCAGTAACGGATCATCAATCAGACATCGATAAACGGGAGAGGTTTCGGTTTTGAGCGGTTGGAGGGTGGTTTCTATAGATGTGTTTGGGAACAAAAGAGCTTGGAGTTGTAATCCATAAAACCCCTCCTGTGCAGTGTTCTGAAAACGCATTACCATCATGGAAGTTCATAGAATGTAAATAAGAAAATATCACTCCCTCACCGAAAGGACTTTATGGGGTGGGCAGTGGAAGAGATTTGACACAATAATATGAAGGAGCAAGTATTAAAAGCTTCGCCTTTGGCATGGTCCATTTGGTGTTCTGGAGGATTAAACCTCATACAATTTTATAACAATTGGTTGTTCGTTAGTTGTTAAGTTTCTTTATGACTTTTCAGTTACAGAAATTACACACAGCGTTGAATAAGATATAAAAACAAGCATGAATGGGGGTAGGCAAGCATCCAGAAGGAGGTCACAGTCTACTTAAGATAAACACCCAAACATTAGCCAGTAGATCCGAGGAAACCAACCAAAATCTCAACCAGGAAAGCCGTTTCTGTGGGAAATAACTGAACTGGAAATCTACCGAAAGTAATGTAGTTGCAATTCCCGAGTACAGCCAATTGTTGGTTATTTACTGATACAGGAACAAACATATATCGCATTTAATGTAACAGTCTAACTACGTCCATGGATCTAATCCCTTGTTGAGAAGCCGCCAGTTATGTAGTTACCCAAGAATTTCCCAACATTTTATGGAACCCGAAGGTTCATTACCACATTCACAAGAGACCTCCACTAGTACCTATCTTGAGCCAGGTCAATCCAGTCCATACTACCCCATCCTACCTAAGACCCATTTTAATATTATCCATCCACCTACGTCTAGGTCTTCCTAGTGGTCTCTTTGCTTCTCGCTCTCCCACAAAATCCTATAGGCATTCATTTTCTTTCAAATCCTGCTACATACCCTTCCCCTCTCATCCGCCTTGACTTGATCATTCTAATTATACTTGAGAAGAGTAAAATTTATGACGCTCCTCATTATGCAGTGTTCTCCAGCCTCCTATCACTTCATCCCTCTTTGGCCCAAATATTCTCCTCAGCACCCTGTTCTCAAATACCCTCATTATATCTTCCTCCCTTAACGTCAAACCAAGTGTCACACCCTACATATTTTATGTGACAAGTAGGTATGCGAGATTTAGACTGAGACTTCCCTTACCGGGACTGAATTTGTTTCAGGGTGGATGAGAAATTGCGGGTGCGCGTAACAGACAACGCCCTGTCACGTGACCTGTTCCCGACAGACTACTACTGCCTTGGCGACAATGAGAACCGACCCATTAAGTGGCTGGCCATAGAGAGCCTCCAACACAAGCAGTTCACGGGCGCCTCGGATGTGGTGAGTGTCGAAAGACGGAGAAGGCAAGGATCCGCGTATTCTCTAAGTCAGAGTTGACAGCTTTACAATCCAGTCTCCTTATTGCCGTAGGAACAACCCCAGACATGGGGGCGCGAAGCTAAAACTGTAAATGAAGTTGAGGCTACAGACACGTTAACACTGTGTACGGAGACAAGTAACCATTGCATTCCATAGGGACTAAAACAGCGGAGAGTTCCAGCAGAGAATCGAATCCCGGCTGCCCAGTCCGTAGCCCAGTTTGCACCGATTGCACTGCCTTCGCGGTGTAGAGTACAGTCGAATTCCATTCGGATTCGCTAACTTGTTCGAAAACAAGCTTTCTCCTTCAAATAAAAATATTCTCTTCTGTCCCCAAGGTCATCCAGCATCTTCTTACGTCTTTTTCCTCGTCTTCTGGTCGCATACATGGTATCTCTGTTTTTGGAAAGGGACTATCCAGGAAAAGTGATAATGTGGTAGTTTTTCCATTTGCTTTCCACATCGCAGTACAACAGCCGTTCAAACCACTCTGGTCACGCCTGTTGCTATACGAACTTGAACCATCTCGAGCATCATTTGCTCTGTGCTTCAAGTCGCTGTTGATGACGCTGCTTCCGGCATCAGTTTTTGGTTTTTGGTGTCTCTCTTCGTCTGATGCCCTCCCCTTGACCTGTCCAGCAAGGGAGGCCATGCCAGTAGCTACGCTACCGCTGGTATAGCTCTCAGGGTCCTTGGCATACTCAAACCCCCTCACCACGGTAAGGTGGTGACACCAACGAGGAGATGGTATATAACACACAGAATTACTGGGTTTTTTGGACTTTCCATAGTCCGATATTCTAGAGAATAGAAAACATGATGTTTCGAAAATTGGATGTTTTCGTCTTCAAGTGAAGGGGGGAGAAGACACTTGGTTGAGATTAGCTCTTTCTAAGGGGCCCAATTGAATAGATATTTTCTTCCACCTTCGCTTGACGGAAACAGATCCAGTTTCCGAAAGGTCGTGTTTTCTATTCTATAGTATAACGGAAGATAGATAAAGTCCAAGGCCGCGCCATAGCTCAAGCGGTTAGTCGTTGGCTTCCCATCGCGGCGGCCCGGGTTCGATCTCGGGTCTGATCAAGTGGGATTTGTGTTAGAAAAAGTGGCGCTGGGGCAGGTTTTCTCCGAGTACTTCGGTTTCCCCTGCCAATCTTCATTCCACCAATTGCTCCAAAATCACCCTTACCTATCATCTGGGTCTGGTACAATAGGCCAGAATTGGTCTCAGTGCAAGGGACTTGGTCCCACCCCACTAGCAATAAAAAATAATGCTCATCACGTCAGTAAAGTTAAATTCGTTAACAACATTTGGCACATGGGCTATTCGATTACCGTAGCAAGAAAATATTTTATTTATAGTGGGGTGGGACTATTATTACTTTTTTATTGCTAGTGGGTGGAACTACTATTTTTATTGCTAGCGAGGTGGGACTAAATCCCTTGTACTGCGGCCACTTCTGGCCTATTGTACCAGCCCCAGATGATAGGTGAGGGTGATTGTGGAGCAATTGGTGGAATGAAGATTGGCAGGAGAAACCGAAGTACTCGGAGAAAACCTGCTCCACTTCCATTTTTTCCACCACAAATCCCACTTGACCAGACCCGGGATCGAACCCGGGCCGTCGCGGTGGGAACCCAGCGACTAACCGCCTTGGACTTTATCTCAGAAAATAAATTTAGTAGCTGAATATCTGCGGATGTTCTTACCTGTTGTAGTGGTCTTTCGGAGTTCTGCTGTGGGAATTAACCACGCTTGCGCAACAGCCGTACTTGGAAGTGGATCCGTTTGAGATGGCGGCCTATCTTCGTGACGGCTACCGCCTCGCACAACCAGTCAACTGCCCCGACGAACTGTAAGTAACACAGTTTGCAACTTCATTCTTTGCGCTTCCCACAGTTACGCAAGAATCGGTCTAAACCCTGCAGGCACTTCCTTGCAGTGATCCTTATCAGAAATATTCGTAGTTGTTAACACTTGAATAGGGAGCGCCACCATTTCAACTGTCACATTTTCAAATCGGGTTTGTGGGATATAGACTTTCAATCGAAAGTGTTCGAGGCTAAGGTGAATGGACGATTCATTGTATCATGTACTTCAGAGTCAGCATGATCAGAAATGTGCCCGTCTGTCATTCAGAAAAGTGTCACCAAACATCCTCCAGAATGACAGTGAAATGATTATCTCTACCATGCTACATTCTTAGCATCAGTATGATTACAAGGGAGCTCATTGTTTAGTACATATGAAGCATATCTCGTTCATGGCATACTTTTCGCACTAACATGATAACGAACTACGAACTTGGATAGCTCAGTCGGTATAGCGACAGGCTACGAGCTGAACGGCTGATTCCCAGCAGGGGTAAGGTATTATTATTTATTTCACAGCGTCCCCAGACCGCCTCTGTGGTCCACACAGAATCCTGTCCAGTGGGTACCGGGGACTATTTTCTCAGAAGTAAAAGGACACGGACGTGAAGCTGACCACTCACATCCATCTAATGCTGAGTTCAAGAATGGTGGAGCTTCACCTCCACTTTCCAGTACGTCTTCATGGCGTGCTGCATAATTAATTGAGCACAGAAACAACTTTATGATAAAGAATTCACTCGTGATTTAATAAAAGAAAAGCACAACGAAAATTCTCGACTGTGGCAGTGAAGGAATATGTCTATTATCATACTGTGCATATCAATATGATCAACGAACTTATATTTCGATACTCATGAAGCAAATTTGTCGTCCATTACACGCTCGATGATGACAGTTGCTAAATTATCTGCTTCTCCAGGTTCGCATTGATGGCATGCTGCTGGTTGGGAGTGCCTGAAGAAAGGCCCACGTTTGTTCAGCTGTTGGCCTGCCTACAAGAGTTCTATAAAGCCCTCGGTCGCTACATATAAATCCATTTGTAACGGTCAACCTGATGCACCATTTCATCAATCACTGCCAACTGTGGGTCCACGACTTCGCTTCCATCTGCTGGTCAGCACAAGGAACTACCTCACATTTACACCGGAGGACAAGTGATTGCATGATACTGCTCTGTGCAATGTCTCCGCGTCTACACTGAATATAACAGTACAGGGAACGAAACTGTAACCCCGGCTCTCTTCTGTACGTTGAGATTTTAAGTAGCGAAATGTCTGTCTGTTTAGACTCTGTATTGGTTTCCAATCTTTTCTGAATCACGTACCGATAAAACAACGGCGTTTTCTGGAGACTGGTACGTTATACAGTACAAATATTAGTCCACAAATCTATCACTAGTTATTCATAATATAAAAATTAACGCTTTTTTGTGGGATTAAAATGCGAGGTACTCTTAAACACAATTACGAAGTATTCGTAATTGGATGCTATGAATAAGAGAACATAAAACATATATTCCATAAAAAAATTAATAGAATGCTATTAAGTTTTCATGAAGAAACGATAAACAAAAAAAATCCTAGTTTTAAAAATTTTCTACTATTTTCTTAGTAGAAAGACAAAGGAATAGAACATAATTGGAAAAGTAACATAAAATAAAACGTGAACTGACAGCGGTGTGCTGAACATCAGTCCAAAAATGCTGATTTATCATACGGCGTTTGAATCCATTGACCTAAAAATGGAGCATTGGGGTACTGTTAGAATGGAAGATTGTGGATCTGAATTAAACCTGTTCGTTTCATTGCACTAATACTAAGTTACTTTTTAATTTAAATAGAAATTATATAGTCTAAAATGGTCTAATCTGGATGAAAAAATGTGTGAATACATTTCGCAGTCTACAAATCCTGTTCATAAATATTTCATGTTATATTTAAAAAGGTGATCCCAAAAGTATTAACGCAGATCACTAAAATCTGTGGTTTGAGACATCCCGCATTATGCACTTTATGTATATTTATAAAATTACTGATTATGAATTAATTTTGTGACTTGACTACATTATGCTAGAAACTCTACGGGTTGTTCAGAATTCATAAAAGAGTGAAATAACATCTTATGAAAAATATGTTGCAATAAGCAAATATATACAGCAAAAGGAGGGCTTATAAAGCTACTTGAACAACTTCGGCGTTGGTCCCCTTCACTTCAAGCATGGCATATTAATATATCGCTCCGTCTCACTTGTTTCCGTCTATATTTATTTCGTATTTGTCACTGAAAGAAACGCCATCTCCTCACAGTTGATGCTATTTCCGCAATAAAATTCATGTAACCATAAAAATATACAGCGAGAGGGAAGTTTCTTTAAATAGAAAACAGCACGTTCAGGTTTAAACAGGCCTATTAATTTCCGGTTCTTGCTGCAAGTACACTTGCACAAGAAATCAATGGCTCCCAGAATTAATCATTCCATACCCCTCTTCGTTGAAAAGCCAGAAATTTTCCATCTCAAATAGTTCATAGTTTCTTCCCACTGTTTCTCCCTTGTGTATTCCGTTCTCTCGTTCCAGGCAGCCACTTGTACTGACACATTCCGTAAGCAGCTTAATTTTTATCTGATTTATTTTTAAGGAACGGAAACCTGAGTAAGTTCCTTGATAAGAGGACAGCAACTTACTATAATAAATAACATTTTTCTAAGAAGAACAGAGTACCACAGTTCACGTGAATTTCATTGTTGTTGATTCGTCTTAAGATATCAGGCAAATATGCTTTAATTCTTTTTCAGGGAGCAATTTAGAAATCATATTCACGAATTATATATTGGCAGCTTGATGTCGCACGCTGCACGAGAACTTAAAGTGAATGAGCTCCTGACAGGACACAAAGTGCCGACTGCAGTTTTTATCCACACTTCACTGAACTCTTGGTACAATATTAAGACGGTCACGTGTGAGAACGTTCCTTCTGTACATATGGTGCCGAGGTGTTGACTGTTGACGACAGGGTACATGAAGAACCGAGGGTTTCGTGTATAAATTATAAACTCAACCGTTACTAGAGCTGACGTAACTCAGAAAAACTACATAAACACCAATCAACAAGACAAAGAGATCCTACGAAGAAAAGAGTGTGCTTTATATATTTAAGAGATTTCTACCAAAGAATAGTTCATATTGCAACATTTTTGCTTAGAAAAAAATATTTTATAAAGACGAAATAAGAGAGAATCAGAAATCGGAGGTGCTCATGTCGGGAAATATTTACAATGTATTATTATATAATGGTAAGTCCACAACTAAATATATATAATTTATTTGAAATTAAACACGACGGCAGCAAGGTGAGGGCTCGTAACGTAAGGTTTTGTTGCGAAGAGATTACTTCTACTTGCTAAGAATTATAATGCTATGAATATCATACAAGTTTTATTATTGATTACCATTGGTAATAGTTTTGTTGCTGTAGCGTTACTTAATCCAGTTAAGATTCCCCCTATTAAAATCAAGTTTCACTAACGTACTTTCATCACCACATGCCTCATGATTCCATGCAGTAGCGAGAAGAAACCCACAGTGCTGAGAGCAAGGCCTGATTGATGCTGATTTAATTCTCTTGCCTGATAATCAGTGCTACAGGCCAACTGTGACCCGTCACCTTAGCTAACTTTTAAGCTCATTTTCTTTAACAGCACTAAAATTAATATTCTGAAATGCCTGAAGGGGAACGAATCTATTTTTATGGCGCTGCATGATATCAAATTCGAAAACTTGTGTAAAGCTCTCTATGAACTAATGCAATTACAGTTTCCGCCCTCCCTACGTCTTCCCGCTTCTTCATTTTACGTTATTTTCTTAGCAAATGGTGACAGCCAGTGATCCAGTCCACGTACTGCAGGGGCGTAAAAATAACCGGTTTCCAAAGCCCACGTTTCTCCGGCCCGTTCATTGCGATATAATGTCTTGGCCATGCAGATACATAACTAACTAGAACTAACTAGGCATTAAATGGCCATCAGCACAACTTCTATTGCATACGACAATATTCAAAACAACTATACATTTCTCTCTCTCTCTCTCTCCCCCCCCCGCCCATCCAATGGTGCTCACGAACAGGGGCAAGTTTCGATTTTTGTTTGTAAAATGAAAAGTGTTTGAGAAATTTGAATTTTTTACAATTTACAGGATATATAAAACAAGACAAAAATCCCCCTAAATTTAATGCAGCATATATCAACACAAAATTTAATTAAAAGAGGTGGACATAAAGGAATACTATTGGAAACTGAGCAAACCTAATCCCATATTTTATCGACAATGTAATGTCCGTCAAATAATTTCGTAATGAATAACATTTGCTGTGGACGTACCATAAAGTTTCTGTAGCGAAGCAAGACATGAAGCAGTCGGGAAAAACCGTTTCTAGCAGAAAATGTTTGCAGCAGCAGATATATAGCATTCCACAGTAGCTAACTCGCCTCTGTTTTTGAAAGCAGACGTTTCATACTTCTTTTTAAGTAAAATGTCTTTTAGAAGCACCATTATATTCATGTCTCACGCATTTTGAGCCATTACTCCTGTGGGCTGCGCTCCTTTTTACTTCATAAATCTCTCTTCTTTCTGCTTCTTAGAAACATCTCAGTATGGATAAAAGTAACAGGGAACAAAAATTTTTTGTCGATGCATAGACCATAAGTCTTTAAAGGTCAAGTATTTTAGCAACAATTAAGCTGCTAATTGTTTGCTCTTAACTGCCTAGTCTTATATCCTCAAGAGCAACAATGAATGTTTCTTCTACTGCAGAATCATCACGTGACTAAGCTGCTACCGGTAGCCATTGACGTTATTCAACTATTGTCTGAAATATATTGTAGCGTTTACAATATTTTTAATTCATTTCGTTGTCACATACTAAATAAATAATCAGAATTTGGACGGAATTTAGAACAGGGTTTAGGCCTATGGATTTAAATCTTTCATTTTTTGCACCTATTTGTATTAAAATTATTATAAAATGTGTTTCTCCGTTAAAGCAGCTTTCCTGTATCAATCCTGCAGCAGTAAGAAATAAGTACTCAGATTATATGTTTAATTATTAATTACATTATTAATTATTTATAAATCAGTCATGAAGTTGGCTGTTTCTTCATTTAGTCCAATTGTCAGCTCCGTGATATTTTTTCCAAAAGTAGAAATATTCTCGACTGTATTTTCTATAGTTCACCGCTAACAGAAGAAGCAAACTCCTTCTATCCTAGGATGAGACACTAACGCCCTGGTGACAGAGCTCGCAGATTCAACTGAAGGCTGCCCTTTTATGCAATCCAAGTCATGCTGACTTCGCACCTCCATGTCAGCCGTCCAAGTAGATGATTGCTGTGATGTCTCCCCTTCTTAAATTAGGCATAATTCTTCCCTCTTAATCCCCACTCAGCTCATTGTAGTTGCCAGGATTTCACTCTCCGAACAATATTATCCAACCCCTATAAATGATAACGTTTGTCGGTATGCAATACCCTAAATTAATGTAATCAAAAAATATTTTTAAATTCGCTTAGTGGGGGGATGGAGTCCAGCTGGATTCACTCGGCACGGCGGCCAATGATTGGCCTATTGTAGCCTGCACCGGGTGATTAGGATGATGGAAAATTTTGTGGAATGAAAATTGACAGGGGAAACCGAAGTACTCGGAGAAAACCCGCCCCAGCGCCACTTTGTCCACCACGAATCCCACTTGACCAGACTCGGGATCGAACCCGGGCCGCCGCGGTGGGAAACCAGGGACTAACCGCTTGAGCGATGGCACCGTCAATCAAAATATTTCCCTGACAATTTTATTTTCAAGCATTTGTAGCTTATGCATTTTCCTTGAAGTAAAGATATTTTGTTTCGCACCCACACAAAATAATAACAAATCCTAGGATAAAAGGATTTAACTCCACTTAAATATGCAGCATAGAATTTCTGCAGTCTAATTATATGGAGTACTGACATCTTTGGACAGTGAGGGAAACTTGTGTATAGCTGTGTTTCGTGCGAGTTTCCAGCTGCAAGTTGCTATCTGACTGAATTCCAGTGACATTTTCATTACATGTGGCGGGTCTGACACTTCATTTGTTAGCAGTATATTGTAACATGGCCTAAATGAGAGTCTTAGGACTGCTGTAATATTTCAGTAGTAAGGGTAAGAGATACGTTTTTTAATAAAAGGTCTTATATGTAGTCCAGCTAGAGTGATCGGTGCTTCTCAGAATCTGGAATGTAATTCGGAGCTGCATGAGAGTTTTTGATTTAATGACAATTTAAATGCACGCAAGCAATGTAGGACTAAAGCCCAACTGTGTTTGATCACATGACCTACTGTATTCTGAAAGAATTAACAGGTTGCCTTAGGGCTCCAATGGGTTATTTCTCCATTATGTCTGTTGTCTTTCAGTCTCTCTCTTGATTCAATTACGTATATTAATGTCACAGTCAATTATCCCGAAAACAGACATAAAATCTATACCAATACATAAAACCTTTTGCTAATTTTTAACAATACCATCGCGTTGTCCTTGCAAAATTATGATGTGCGAACTGCGCTAACGCATCTAAATGAAGAGTTTTAAAATTTCGTGTTTAAATAAATCTTTAGAGAACAACACAAAATGCATCAACATTTCGTCAAGAATTGATTTATGGAAAATAAAACAAGAAGTTTTGGGAAGAATTAATCGCCTAATTTCCTTTGATACGACACGGACCCAAAAGAAAACAATGCCTCCAACAATACTTCGTTGCCGCGAAAACTTCTTTACCGAGTACTTACCTAGCAACGTTAGGGGGATACATTTTACCAAGCCTTTACCAAGCATCGATAAGAAGGATATACACACAGACGCACAGGCTTATGGAAGGCATTTATGAAGTGCCCGGTTGAGATGGGTTCAAGTGTCATGATGTACATACCAAGTTTCATAAAGACTGGTTAAAGTAAGGAAGATCGCAAAAGCCTACTTTCATTTTTTTCATAATTGGTGACCTCCGTGAAATATCCAGCCTGATGATTCGATAAACTGTTAATAGTTGTTAATTTCAAAGGTCAAATTCATATTATGGCAGATTTCAAACGAATAAATTATTTCGTATCTTGGTAGAAGCTGCTCTATCATATATTTATGAAAAGCGCTAGGGTTTGCACTTCGGACTGTACATGCGCCTTGTTGCACTCTATAACCCCTGGACGATACTAAATGAGTAGGAAATATATTAATTTTTATTTTGATACGTCTGATCCATGAACTTCTCTTCTAATGACAAAATCATCCAGTGAATAAGACCTTAATACGGAATAACTGTACAAAGTACTTTGTTTTCAAAACATATAATTTTCACAGATGTCTGTCTTTTTATATTAAATTTCAACCAAACAGAACACTAAATTTGCCAGTTTCCTGAATCACACAGATTTTATAAAACCTTCATTTAGACAGACGGAAGGGCTCCTTAAGCGTATGACCAGCTAATCACAGTAGAACATAGGAAAGCGCTAAGAAGCATCAATA